GTATTAGTGATGGTAAAAGGCAAATCCAGCACCAAAATATTCTGCATTAATCTTATTATCATGGGAGAACATCCATCTTTTCAGCCCCACACTGTAAAATCTCTCTTAGCACAATGCATTCTTTCCACTTTGTTCCTCTTCAATCATAGACACCACAGTGACTTTCCTATTTAAAAGATCCAATCAACATATTACTTCAAACTCTCCTGTTACTCATGGATTTCAGAAATAAAGCAGCCAGAGTTGCAGAGTATTCTCACCAGTATAAACTGAGTAGTACCTTTGATAGGAATGGAGCTGGCAGATTACTTATATGTAAAAAGCATGTAACTGGGTAACTAAAAATACAATGAAAATTAATACCTGTCAATTTTTGCAGGACCACAGTTTTACACTAATATAAACTCACTGACATTAGTTAAGGCTCCAGTGTAAGACTGGAGCCTAACTGTGGTGAAATGGCCCCTACGATTGTTTTCACTGCTTATCCCAAGTTGCATTCCTAAACACATATTCACAGACCACAGGGTCCATTTGTTGTAATTTATCACAATAGCACTAAACAATCTGGCATAAACATATTCTTTCTTTCATGCCAAGAAATGCTATGCACCCCTTAGATCCCAGATAAAGTATATGGAAGAGAAAGTAGGGTGTTCAGCCCTTCTTGTCATCAGTCCACCTTCTGGAAGCATGATTCTATGCTGCAGCCCTTCCTCCAGTCTGCTTTATTTATTTGACAGGTGCTGCTAAAGGGCTAGCAAAAAAAAAAAAAAAAAAAAAAAAGCTGCAATACCCTGCTCTCTACTTCTTACTTGTTTAGATATTACAATTATATGTTGCAGAGTGCATGGAGACAGACTTACTATGGAATCGTATTTCTTGTTATAAAAACAAGCAAGCAAACAAAACAAACATAGAAACAAAAAAAAAAAAAAAATTTCAAGATGATTTTGTGGCTGCTGCTAACAGAGTTAGCTGAAAAGACTGAGAATCAGATAAATGATCTGGTTGGGCTGTAATCATCTGCAGCTTCATGGGGGCAAGCAGGGGTCTCCAGGATCCCAATCTCTGCTTAAGAGCAGGTGCAGCAGGAGCAGACTGCCCACAGCCTTGCCCAGCAGGTTTTGAGCATCTCCAAGGATGGAGACGCCATGCAGCCTGTTCCAGCTCCACTTTACAAATATTTTCCTTGCATGAAGCCAGAATTTTCCTTGTTCTAACTTGTGCCTGTTGCCTCTCCTCCAATATACCCATCTCATGCCGCTGAAGGCTATTTTGTTCAATGTACAAAATAAGTTTCACCATTCCTTTACTGAAAGATGCGATGATGTGAGACCATTCACTGTCCAGGCATCCAAAAATTGACTCAGATCACCTTCTCATCTTTTGTGGCACTACAGGTATGAGGAAGGAGTTACTTTGAAACCCACTACCAAAGAGGAAAGCCACTGTAACTGGTGCCTGGAGTAACAGCCATGCAGAGGGACCTTTAGATGTTTGGGTAGGGTGCTGGTGAAAGATGGGGCATAGTGAGGTCATGTAGTAACACTGCTCCAACCCCCTATATGGGGTAGCCCTTGTCCTGTGCATACATGGGATAGTGCTGCTGCTCAGAGCAGTCAACCAGAAGCCAATTCTTGTCTGCAGACCAACATATTATGCAGTTGCTGAGGGAAAAGTAATCCTCAGAGCAAATGTGCTGGACCACATCAAGGCTCCCCACAAAAAAAGTGCTTGGCAGCAATTAAGCTGAGCCTGAGCTGAGGAATTGTCTATGCCAGAAGAACACTGTCATATGAACAACACCAGCATATAATTGAAATAATTTATTTACCACTAGAGCACCACAAAAACAGACATACAATGTGTTAAAATACAGAGTAATCGATCACCAAAGTACAACACAGCTGTCCTTTAAGTTCCTTTTTTTTTTTTTTTCTTTTAAACCACACCAACCATACAATTGTGTTGTTGCTAAACACATAAAAAATGCTGTCCTAACCCACTCAGCTAAGTGCTAAGACCCCCCTCAAGCTCACACAGCTCCTTTGGGTCTGACCTTTCAAAGTGCGAAACATTTCCTGCCAGGTGCTGGGCATCACCAATGCTCAGGAACTTTGCTGAGATGGTAGCAGCTACCTACTTATTGTGACAGTTTGAACTGTTACAGTCCCATCTAAACATCATTTGATGGGGGGAGGGGGTGGTAATCAACATCAGACCTGAGTGGTGTTTGGCCTCACATCACACCACTCTACAGAGGGGTGTTTCACCCATGAGTTCTGTGCACTGTAGGATCAGGTCTAATAGTGTCCCTGGTAATTAAGCGAAATGCATGCCTAATAAAGTTGAGGAAAAAAAAGTTGTAGGAGATTTATAACAATATCTCAAATACTATCAGTGCATTTTGAGGAAAAAAAAACTTAAAAAAAAAAAAAAAGTATCTGATCTTGTGGTAATGATTTACAGAAATAAGGTTTTATGTTTAAATTTAGACAACAAAAACTCCAAACCCAAACCAAAATCTTCAGCTGCGTCCAGCGCATAGTGAGTATAATTGGACAACTATGCTATCTTGTATTCCACTTTTCCAAAGCTTCAAATCCACTCTAAGTTGCATTCCCGTAGTAGAGAATTGCAAAAATGTTCTTAAGCCTTTTGAAACGTGTTCATCCATGTCTCCCTTCCTGTCCAACAAAAATACAGTTTTCTCATACTGAACCTGATAAAACTAATTTTGCTGCTGTATGCAGCAAAATCCAGAGTATTTACTACCCTGAGGAGTTTCACTGAGTTCAGTGCATCTTCTCACTGGAGTAAGTCTGGCTCAAGCAAGTGTTAGCAGGACAGATTTTTCACTTGTTCATTTCAACTCGCTAAATAAATCAGAAGTCTAACATACCTCCTCCTCTGTGCTGAGTCAATGGGTGGGATTAGATCATCTGTGGGTCTACATGTCCATGTAGGCAGTAAGCATAGAGTCTGCTGAAGTCCTGAGGAGCGGCGGGTGCAAGCCGCTGCGGTACTTCAGCTTTGCATCAGTGTTCTGCTGAAGTCAAAGAAATTGCACATCTTAGAACTGGAGCTGACAACATAAAGCTCAGGAGCATGCTCCTGACACCACTCAGGTCAATGACAGAAAATGTCCTTCTCATCCAAGTAGCATGTTTCTAGCGCAGTTTTCAAGCTCTGCCATGCAAAACCATCCATCATATGATTGTGTCTTCTTCGTGACTTTTTTTTGCCAATTTAAACTTTTTAGAAAAGAAATGTATGATGTGGATTATTTTTCAACTCCCTCTACAATATTCAAATGCGTAACAGCAACAAAGCCCTAGAGACCCCATATTTCTTTTTCCATTTTTTTCTTTTAATAAGTTTGAAAACTCAAAAAATCAAGAGTTTGACCCTGCAAATCCTGCCACGCCACTGCAGAAGTTAAAGGCAAGCCTCTGTTAGTGCGTTGGGAGCAGGATCAGCCCCACAGCTTAACGGCAGGGCAAGTCCTGCTGTGTGTGAGCCCAGGGTAGCCTGCTCCAATGCATGCCCCATGCAAAGGCATTGCTGAGGCAGATACTCCGTACCAGCTTTTTGCACAGGAGCAGATGTCACTCTCTGCCTCTGAACCGCATCACGATTCAAGTGTTACAAATGGGGATGAAAGAGGAGGGAGGGAAGGAGGGGAGGAGAGAGCACTTTAATCCATCCTTTTTTTATAAAACAAAAACAAACAAACAAAAAAAAAAACAAAACAAAAAAAAAAACCACAAATGGAGTCAGGTAGCTTATGTCATAATGATGAACAATATACAAAGCACATGTATAGCAATTATTATAAAACATGTATTTGTAGTGCAAGTCAAAATATAGGGACTCTACTCATACTGGCCAGCTAGAGGGAAACACGTGATTCTGAGTGATCAAAAAGAGCCCCAAATTCAAATTCAAACTCATGAGAGCTGACAGTATTACAGAGTACAAAAATATGGTGAAAATTTACACATTACACATAAAGTACTTAATTTTTTAATAGTTTACAAATAGAGATCTACAGATATGTTTCCAATTAAGCTGGCTTTTACTACCCACCTATTGCAATACTCTAGGTATGGTTACATATACCAAAAGAACAAAAAATCCCATAGCATAGCTATACAGCAACATATTAAGGTCTGAAGATTAGACCAGTACATGTTAAATATTTCACTGGTTTACTAAACTGACATTTAAATCATTTACAGTAAAAAAAAAAAATCTTATAGACTTGTCTTTGAGACTGAAACAGAGTGTCCTTTATTAGTAAGTTATTCAGTATTTAAAACAAGGGTTTGAGACCTTACAAGAAGCCTCTCCAGGCGGCTGGCATGAAAAATAAGGTATTTTAAAGGCAGAGTTTCTCAATAGTGTAATAACTGATTTCTATTTAAATCCAACTAAACTAACCATTACTTTCTGAAACTTTTGAGCTTGTATTCCTTTAGGCTTTCTATGTATTTCTGGCAGTTTATTTGGTCTCCATTTTGTCCACATTTGCTGGTTTTCTTTTTCCAATGGCAATATGGAAATGTTCATTTGATAGTTTTTACACACAAATAAATAATGCACTGTTAACTCTACAACTAAGAGGAATGGGTAGGATGCCTATTGCATAACAATACAGAGAGATCAAGTAAGGCACGGGACAGATACAGCAACTCCACTTCATGGGATTTTCCTGTTTTTTTCCTTTCACATAGTAACACTAACAAATTTCTTCCAGTGTTTATTTTTTAAAAGGTTTTTTTTTTTTTTTCCTTTAACTTTGCTTCTTGTCTATCTCACACTATGTGTAGTGAAATGTAAGATAAAGGCCTTCAATGTTTTACTTCAGATGCCAGTTTAAAAAAAACAAAAAAAAAAAAAAAACAAAAAACAACTTTCAAACAGTTCAGACTAGTACCGCTTTTTTTTCTTCTTTGTTGATTTTTTATTTTCCTTTTAACACTGATGATCTTGGGTTTTCGTTTTTCTTTCTTTCCTCCTCGCTCTCTCTTTCTTTTTTCCTTGGTTATTATTTTTATTTTTTGATACACACATGTCACGTTGCTTCTGGGGTATCCTTTAGCTGCATTTGCAAGACTTTACAATCATGTTGGACAGCTGTTCAATTTTGGGTGTTTTGCCAATGTAGTAAAGGATGGTGAGGGGTTCTAAATCCTGGGACACGCAGCATGGAGAGGCAGAAGCTTCTGGATTTATGGTGTTATACAAGCTGAGTACCTAGAAGGAGAAAGGAAATAAGAGATTAAGACAGATTCCTCTGCCTGCTCCACTCTGGAAAGCAAATTCCTTTCTGCATCACTTCCTCCTCCAGTGCCTGGGAAAAAGCCCAGTGAAATCAGAAGAAAGATGCCTGAATTTGAATATTTTTGCACGCTTCTCCAGTTCAACCTGGTGTCACAAACAATCTGAGCTTCCTACTGTTTTATCCCCACAGCCTTAAATCTTAAAACATGTATGTACCTGCAGCCTGACTTGAAAGCATAGCTCTTCAAAGCAGCACACATGCTGTATTGTATGTATAGGGAAGGAAGAGACTGAATGACTTTTATCTGCAACTTCAGACTGTCATTTACTGTTACAGGATTTTGGTTTTACAAGAGCACCAAAGGGAGAGGAGAGTCCTTCAGCACATGAGTACTGCTTTGCTTCTCATCCCTGCATACTTTTCTGTAAATCCACTAATGCCACCCTTCAAGAACCATGACTACTTCCTCAGTAGTCCAACTGAGGATCAGCTGTGGCTGAGGATCAGCAGCACTGGTACTTTATGTCACATTGGATTCATATGCATGGTTCTCTGCAAGGGAAGTATGTAGGGTTACCCACTGATGATTCACAGGTATTTCCGAGGATGCCATTAATGTGTTAGCTAAACACTAAATGACCTTTTCCTAGAGCTTCAACACAACTTTTACAGCTTTTAGAGACAGAAGACCTGTTCAGGACAGCAACACTAACTACTTTATTAAGCAACCTCTGCCTATTTGGGTGACTATCCAAACCACATATTTGTGATCATGACAGTTATTCTTCCTCTTTCCTTTAAAAACAAGTGCTGCTCCCAACAGTGTACACTACTACTCCACACAAGCATGAAAACATAGGTTCTATTAAAAAATATTTACTGCTGTCAGCTGACAGCCACTGCTGATACTACAATGCCACAGCCACTCACAGTTACAAAAGATACCTACACTTAGGCCTGTACCTTATGTCTTTACAGACCGAAAGGAAAGCAATCCCTCTCTCGAAGAGGCTGACATTGATGTGATATTTTAAGAAAGATTAGTAAAAAAGGAGACATCATCCTTAGTACGGACCTGAGGCTGAAATTTTTTCTTTATGACAACTGCAATGCAAATGCCTGCCTCATACATTTACAGTCTAGACATCCATATTGACAGTTGAGAAAAATAAGCACTTCACAGCAGAGTATCACTCATTCTAAAGCACTTGACTAGAACAACCCATCCAATCCCTACAATAAAAGATTGTATCCCAACCATCTATCAGTTCATAAGCACCCCAGACACAAGGTCATTCTTGCTCAAATAAATTCTCAATGTACAAGAATAAACGCCTCTTTCGAAGAAGTACACCTATCCCTACCTCATCATGAAATTCAGCACGGTAGCAGATCACTAACAATATAAAAAGAGCAACTCATAAAGCAGGTGAAAATTGGATGGTAAGACTCAGCCCCATAATCATTCTGAGTGCCTTGGCCAACGGAGGGAACTCATTGCCATTTTGCACTCATGCTTTTTACTGACTGGTCCTTTTTCAGTCAGCCTTCCAAAGCTGTATCATGCTTATGGTCACAAACAGTACAGGATGCATTCCTACACTGTATTGATGACCATACTAAAAAAATGTATCTCTGTATCTTTGGATCAATGCATGACTTCAGCTTCAACTCTAGTCTGAGGGCACATGCAACTCCCTCTTCAGGGTCATATTTTCTTATTTACCGAGATAACACATGGAAGCTTCAGGCTCTTGTACTGATGACAGTCCTAGAAACATATTTCACCCTGCAGTTATAAAATAGAAGCTAGCCCATGTCCCTAAGTGCCACATCTACCCTTTTCTTGAACACCTCCAGGGGCAGTGACTCCATCACCTTCCTGGGCAGCCTGTGCCAATACTTCACCTCTCTTTCCAATAAGAAATTTTTCCTAATATCCACCCCCTAAATCTCCTCTGGTGCAACTAAGGCTACTATCTGGACCGATTTACTTACTCTGCTGTGCTGAGTGTCTGAGCTCCATAAATATGGGCAGGCTCCTGCACAGAAATTGGCATGATATCCTTTAGGTTCATGAATCCATTTCCAGCCAAGATCCCTCTTGAAGTCAATATAAAGTGGACGCAGGCAACAATTATCCTGTACGTTCCTGGAAAATAAAATACAGACAAATGCATTGGCTATCACAAGGACAGCATAGAGAACAAAAATAATCCAGTTGTTTGCTCCCTGAATGATGATTTAAAAACAAGTTAATCACATCTGTTGTAGTTTATACTGTAAATGAAATGAGATGCTCATACATGGCAAGAATTGCTTATAGAAAGCTAATGGAGGATCACTGAAGTACTTTTCTCCAGGTCCTACTGAGTCCCACTCAGCACAGCGGAGGTGATAATTTGGTTATAACTATGAAGATGATAGGCTTGGGAATCACCCCAGGTGGAACTCAGTTTCTGCATTCTGAGGTTCTAACCTTCCTCTTCAGACACTGTCTCCATGGAAGTGGAGCACACTGGACAGATACCCTTTGGGCATGGACACTGTGGGTCTGTGAACAAGGGCCACGCTCTGTAAAATGCCTACCATAAAAAAAACATTTGCTTGCATGATAAGCAACTGCATTACAATTCAGAAGCTGGCACAGTTTTGTAAAGGATACTAAATATAGATGCATAGTTACCTAAAACAATAGGCAGCATCTAGAGCACGCTTCTTCCGCCGACTGGGCTGTTGCGACTCAAGTCTGTAGGAGGGTAACAACATTAGCAGAAGATGTGGGGTCTTCCCACTGTATTTTTTCCTATTGGACTTTAAAGCTTTCACATCACCACTGGAATATGTGTAGTCATCAATACCTTCAAAAAATACATTTTGGTGATAAACATTATGTTGCTATTTTCTTCACAAATTAAATAAACCATCTCTTTTAAAAAAATGCTATCAGAACCTGGGCAACAATGGCGTCAACTGAACACATTTACTGGGAAAGTTGAGCCAAATTTCAGCCCAAGATCCCAAACATATTCACAGTTCTCATGCATCTATTGTATCAGACCTCCATATTCTTAGCCACTTAATGGCACGTCAGTACACTTACCAAAATCGTTGAAATGAATAACAGAAAAGATATGTGGAGTCCCTTCAGCCAATGCATTTATATTGCTTAAACCAGTTTCCAATGCCCGAAGCAATGATGCTTTTTGTACTTCACTTAGGGCAGTATTCTAACAGCTTGCAGTCTTCAAACAGTTATGCACCTTTCTAAACTTTGTAATAGCATTAAAGCTACTCTGGGTAATCAACCTGCATTTCCCACTGCTTACTTTCAACTCATTAGTTTTCTCTATCACATTTACGTATTTCTAATGCTTATAAATTCTCTGTTTCTCACTGTCAGTTTATTAAATTCTGCCAATTCTCTCAAAAAAATCTGTTATTCTATCTCCTTCTTCTGTATGATCATGGCAAGGACATTGATCAAAATATTTATTCTTGCAATAGAAATCAATGATCTCATATTTTGTATTTTCCCTTGAAACTCTAACTGCCTTACTAACTTTCTTATCATAGCAATAGGATGGGCAACAGAACCCAAGTTTTAGCCTTTCCCAGGAATTAAATAGCTCATGTTATGCCTGTCACTGAGAACCTTTTGAAAATTAACCTCCTGAACCAGATAATGCTATCTAAAGGAAAAAAGTTACTTTTTGTAACATGCAAAAATACAAAGATCAAATATCATACTAACATTGCTTTAAAATGCACACAATGGCTTTATTCATATCTACAATCCATATATTTACTTAAGAGAAAAAAAATTCCAATGCAGTGAAACAATGGTTAAATAAATGTAATATTTGACAAGGAATACAGCCAAATCCTTGGAAAACCAATGAACCAAATCATGATATATTTGAATAAATGAAAACTCGATAAACAGCATGAGTTGATTCTAATATAGGCTCTACTTCAAGCACTGATTGATGATAATTCTGGCATCATCAGTTAAATAACATTTCCCTATTAGAAAGTGAAACCTGAATGGCTCAAAAATATACTGGAGCTTATGCTTACTATATATCACTTTGTCTGCTGTCCACAGAAAGCATATATATCCATAACCCTTATTACATAATTCTTTTTATTACTTATTCAATCCAATCTTTTAAGTTTTTACCAAGCTATCAGCATAAAAAGCATTTGTGCAACTAATATATGAATAACAATAAATTGCAAATGCCAGTGATGGAGAGTATATGTATTGAGATAACCAGTATTATGTAATGTAGTTCTATTGACTTCACCTGAGACTCAGACTTACACTGCTTGAAGTGGGAGCACACTGAACAGACACACCCCTCCTGCTACTTCAACCCACAACTCACTTGGAGTGGAGCATGGCAGCACGTTTATTCAAGTCTGGCACCTATTCTTCACTTATTTCTGAAGCAACTGATGTCATTGCTCACATGAATTTTAATATTACTGATATAAATGAAAAAGAAAAAAAAATGCTGGAGTTGCTCACTGCTTCCAAACAGCTAGAAGCACTTTTGCAAGTATTTACAAATACTGGGGTCCTTCATAAAAAAAGAAAGTGCCTCTGTAAGAAAACCAGCTTACTATTGCCTTACCTACAGTTTAGAAATTTGCCATAACAAGTATTGCTTTTCAAACAATATTCTTAAAACATACCATGCTCATACACATCTAGTGCAAGCAGCTTATGTGTGTGCCAAACACTATCTTAATTGGACTCTTCAATAATCTTCTCTACTGAAGCCTGAACACTTGCAGTGCTAGGATGGACAGCAAAGGGTTTATTCTGAAAGTATTCAGTAAATTTTCTCACGATTATCCAACAGTGGATGGTCTACAGTGCATTAATCTTTCCTAAATCCAAAACTGTATGTGCATATATATCCAGTGTGGATGCTGCAAACTTTAACAGAGATATTTACGCACACAGCAGCTGCAAGCATGGAATGAGACCGCTTACTCGTGCCATTTGGTTTTAGAGTAGTTCAGTTGGTTTTAGAACAGTTCAGCTGACAGTTATACCCTTGTGCCTTTAACACAATTTCCCACTAGTTAAGATTCAAGATTCTCAAATAAGTAAGTTTTCCATCATAAATTCTATTTTAGAGATGTAAGAGATCTTTCCCGCCTGCCCAGTCAGTTACATAACAGTAAAAAAAATATATTTTTTTCAGTTTTTACCTGCAAATCTTGCTTCAAGCTCCTCACTTTTATTTGGGATGATATAATTATTGGAAGGCACAAAGGTGCAGCATGGACAATGTAAGCTTATCTTAAATCCAAGGTTCCTGTCTGCAAAACATGAAAGTAAGTGGAATAAGTTTTTGAGTGGAATGAGACTGAAATGCTGCTGAGTTAATAAATGACAATTTGGGGCAGGAGTGAAGACAAAACACTGCTTGTCACCTCTGTGATGGAGCCATTCATGCACAGCCTCAGTGACATCAAAAGACAACCATTCTCCTTCAGCTCTCGTTTTAACCACTTTGCTGTCGATGTAGCGCTGTCCTGGTGATGATAATTCTTTTGATTTCAGAACCTGTAAGAAATAACAAATATGATTGTCTGCAAGTTAATGTTTATCAGATTTGCATTGAAGTGGACCATCAGCATTATAAAAGAGCAGAAGAAATTATTACAGCTCAAATTTCTATGCAACAGATGTACATTCAGTCAAGTTTTCAGTACTGGAAGAAAGTACAGTATGTCTTAGTTTCTACAGAATCATTACTGTCAATTACAATGGCAACAGCAACAAGGATTCAACAGTCTGACTACTGCAATAAAGGTACTTGACTAATGAAGTCTTTTTCATCTCCCTTAGAATAACCATCAGTTGCTCCACACTTCAAAGTCCTCGTAGGGCTACCGTGTCATGATTCTGCTCTGTTGCTACTGCAGCGTATCTTGCAGTTATGATGTCTGACTTTCAAAATCCAAGTAAGTATGCCTGTATTTGCTTCCTGCTTTACAAGGAATCTTTGGGTGTTTGGTGAGAGGAAGGTGATGAAAAAAACACCTCAAGAAAATAAGCTTTTGTCCCCAAGCAAAACATGGCATCATATACTTTTTCCTAAGATAATTCACACAAGATGACTGCACTGAAAATTTGTCCTGCAACACTAGTGGTCAAGGAAATCACAGCAACTGGAACATCAAAACAGAGGCTATTCCACCTTCTTTAGCAACACACTGGCTAGAGTATATCCAGCAGAGCGCCAACTATGAAGACCAATGTGGAGAAGTTGAGAGAGCTGAGATTTTTCAGCCTGAAGAAGAGAAGGCTCAGGAGGAATCTTATAAATATGTGTAAATACCTGAAGAGACGATGCAAAGAAGGCTCTTTTCATTGGTGCCCGGTGTGAGGACAAAAGGCAGTGGGCTCAAATTGGAACACAAGTGGTTCTATCTGAACATCAATACATATTTCTTTACTGCATAGGTATCAGAACATTAAAATGGGTTGCCCAGAGGTTGTGGATTCTCCCCCTTGGAGATGTACAAAAGACACTTGGGCAACAACAAGGTGTCCTTGCTTGAGTAGGGGGTTGGACCAGATGACCCCTAGAGGATCTCAACCATTCCGTGATTCTGTGCTATCAAAAGCTGAAGTACAAAATAGTCTATGCACTGAAGATATATCAGTAGATCATCAGCACTTCCAGTACTGGTTACACACTAAACAGTTAAGAAAGCACTGTCTGTGGGCATGCAAAACCAGCCAGGTGTGAATAATGGCCACACAAAGATCTGTGCAACAGATGATTCTGCTTCTGTCCAAACCTGGATTCCAGCTGTGTTTGTACTTCAGTCAAAAGTTTCAGCAAAGTTTGCTGCTGAGCATGCAATAAAAATTACCTATACAAAAATCCTCAGCTCCTCCCCTTCAAGGCACAGAACTGCATGCCTGGAATTTCAAGTACTCACAGCCTTCCTTGTATCTAAACAACTTGAGTGACTGACTACCTTCTCACATACAAGCATAGGCTGCTACTATATGCCTTACCTCCAGGATGAAAACAATGGGGCTTTCAGCTGCTAAAAAGTTTCTGGTTTCCAAGTTATTGCTACATTGATAGTTTTGTGATGCAGGAATTTGGAATACCACACCGAGGTATGCTGGATCTCTCAAAATCCACCAGCGCAGCAGCAGCTCCTACAGTATCAATTGTACTACAAAAAGAGCCACAATCTGATAAGCTCCTTGCTCTTCTCCTGATCATCACATTTACAGCAGGAGAAGAGAAGAAGAAAGATATGGGAAGATGTTGGCCCTGATCCAGAAAATTAACAAACATCACTAGTAGAGGATGCTCACATCTCCAGTAGAAATTGAGGGCACTCAAACATTCAACACTAGGAGTCCTTTTTACAGGGCACCCTTCAAACAAAGTGTTTGAACAACTGTTTACAGAGAATCTGGCAGCAGCAAGGGGACTACCATTGCCCAAAAGTGCCAGAGAGATGAGACAACCCAAAATCAATGCTGGGAAAGTCCCAGAGAAGTACAAATATAACTCTGCCTTCCCTTTGGTCTTTATCAGGTCAACTCAAGTGTTTCTGAGGACGTAATGCAGCTGTCGCTCTGCAGCGATGTGTTGGGGGGTGCAGGGGCAGGGGAGCAAATGGGACACAAGAACTTGGCTAATTTTTCTTCCTTTCTGCACAGTCATATCTTTCCAATGACTCCAGAAACTGCATGCCTCGCAGTTTTGGCAGTGATGTCAGGATCTAAAAGTAAGCAATGTGCCAAAAGTAATCTCTTGCTGTTAACTATAATTGGTCTTAGAAGTGTTTTGAAAACTCAGTTGTGCTTTGGTATCCAATAGAGAATGTCTTTATCCCAATCTCACTCCTATGAAAGGACAAAGTCAAGGATCAGCAGTGTCCAACTGACACGAAAGGCTTTTATAGAAGTATAAGAGATCATCACTGCACATATTCAATAGCACATAAAACATCCATCCTGACCCATGAACTGAATTGTAAGAGAAGTGACTGCACGTTTCAGAACTGAAGGACAGGATGGACAGCGTAGATTAAAAGAGCTGAATATAATTCATCCTTCAATGTCTACGGTATCTGAAACTTAGGCTTCTCTCCTTATGGTTTATGTAGTGTGTTCAGGAAAAAAAGTTATGAGGAATGAGCTAAAAAGTAAAAAAACTAAGTATAGCATAAGTAATTTCCACAACTGACATCATGCATTAAACAGGCACTAGTAATTCTAAAGCAAAATGTTGCTGAGTATAATATGAGTGCCACACACAGCGAAATTAGTAGGCCTGCTTCAACCTCAAGCAAAAATGATCTTTTAGCCTCACTGTT